GCTAACTAATTTGGATGTAAATTAAAAAATTAAATTAAATTAAATTAAAAATAAATAAATAAAAGGGAGGAAATCCCACCATATGTGACAACATGGATTAATCTGGAAGACACCACACTAAGTGAATTAAGCAAGTCACAGGACAAATACTATATGCTGTACCTTTATTATCATTGAGGTGAGAAAATAGTTTTTAGTCTCTATCATCCGCCCGGTTTTGTTTATATAATTGGCTTTCCAAATATAAAACTAATGTGATATTACAAAAAGGAAAAGTTCTTAATGAAAACTAATAAAATGTGAAATAATCATGTTACTAAAAGAGTTACAGAAAAAAAACAGTCTGGAATAAAAATACATGTATTTTTAAAAAATTGTGTTTCTTCACGGGATCTTAGATTTCTATGGTAGCTAGGTGCATAAAAATGGGAGAAAATGAAACTGGTGAGGGCAGGCCTGGGAAAGAGGTCTTTCTTACAGTGAGGCCAGCCTGTGGTTCTGTGAGGAGAGGAGGAGCCTGTGGTCCGAGGGGGCCCCTTCCCATCTGTCTGTCCCATCCGTCTAAGCACAGACACCACCTCTGCTGGGCCGTGGTCCCGCCTCACACGTGCACTCTTCAACGTGAAGAGAACTGACACAAATGTGTAGGATGATTCTATGAAATTACATATAGGAACAGGAAATGTGTAGGAAAGAAAAAGACAAGAAGAGAAAAAACTTAAACAAAAAATTTAAGAACTCTGCCATGACAGAAGGTTTTTTGTTCAAAGATATGTATTTAAGGTTTTCTAATTTAAATGTCCCATTTGAAGGCATCATGGGCTGAGTCACTGTGTGCATGTGTGGTCGGCGAGCACTGTGACACACAGCCGCCGTGGTGGTCACGGAACGCGTGTCGGGAACACGCACGGTGGGGACCGTTGAGTGCTTGACGTGTGGCGGTGGGCACGCTGGGGCACAGTCGCCAGGAAGGAGTGGGCTCCAGCAGGGGCGGGACAGAAGCTGGGAACAGACCCCAGAGAGGTCGCAGACACGCGGGACGGCCCCGTTGGAAGAGGCCTGGGCCTTGCGGCGGGGGACCTGCACCCCGCCCCCCACAGGTCTCCGGGCCCTAAGCTGCAAGGCGAGCCCCGTCTGCGTGCTAGGCCCCCGTCTTCTGTCTGCTGCTCTTTCCACAATAGGGGTTTTAACCAAACATAAAAGTGGACATGAGATAACAGAGCACACACTACCTGCTAAATCAAGACCGTAAGACGCTCACAGAAGTACGCGTACCGTGGTAAGATACGGACTGCCAAGTGTATGGATCTGGGGCACTGAGTCCATTCACGCTGCTGGGCGGCCGGCACCGCCCTCTACCCCCAGACCTTCCTCCTCTGAACCTCCGTCCCCATGACACCCTCCCTCCCTCCCCGCCCCCGGGGCCCTGGGCCCAGCGTCAGCTTCCGGCCTCTCCGAATCCGCCAGCTTCAGACCCCATGGGAGCGAGGCAGACAGACCGCGTCCTCTTGCATCTGGCTTATTTTACCGAGCGCCGTACCCGCAAGGTGCATCCCTGTTTTGAGGGGTTCACGGGAAGGTGACTCAAGACAACAGCTCCCTTCCGGCCTGTCCACTGCCCTCTCTCCGTCCACCCTGATCCACAGCCTTTTAGCGTGTCGTCACTACTTCCATAGCCTCGTGGGTCTCCAAAGGGAGTGTGACTTGAAATCAGTGTCAGGAAGAACATTCAGAACGTCTCTCTTGTACCATATAATCGATGCATCTCACTTAAAGCTAGGCTAGGCCGTGGGAAAACAGGTTCCAACTGTTTACCATTATTAATATTCTGAAATACGCTACTTTTCCTGGGAGAATTTAAATTACTATATTTTTACTGCCCTCTTCCCAAAGCACATCACTGTCCTTTCCCCTCACACATAACCAACGCACAGACCCTCCCCCCCCCCCCCCCCGCCCCCCGCCCAAGACCTTGGAAACATTCATTAACCAGCTGCCATTTGCGTCAAAGCAAAAATTAATTTAATCCCAGGACATTTATTGTACTGGCGAGCTGCCATAATTTATATTCTGAACATTATGTACTTGTTAACCGTCTTCTCTCAAGTTTTGTAAGAATTTTTAGCTTGCAAACTGACAAACGAAAATACACTTTATTGCTAACACCTATAAAGATTTTAACGAGGTACCAAAGAGTCTTGCAGCCATAAACTCCTTGCACGCATCTTTTTAATGAATGATTTCTCAATATTGCAATCTACGTTCCTTTCTCAAAAATGTGGCCTTCCCACATTTGGTTTAGATTAATATTCCGCTCATTTGGAAAGCCAAGTTTTGTTCTGGGGGAAACGCGGCCACTCGGGGCCTGTCAGACACGCGATGAGTACTTTGGTGATTACAGCTGAGGTCACGGGTGTGCTCGGAGAGGCTCCAGAATCTAGTAAATTCCGAAGAAGCAGCTAAAAACCATAACCTCCTTTCTTTTATGTCACTCTAGACATGGAGATTTTGCAAAACCCAGTGTGATGTCACATTTCTTAAAGAGCCGCTTGATTAAACGTTTTTCAATTACTGCATGTGCCGAATGGCGAGGGGGGTTCACTGCAATTCACCTGCATTTTGTTGACCAGACAGCGTGTTATCACAGAGAAACGACGAATATGAACAGAAGAGTCCGTTGACTCAGTGACTTGACTGAGTCACTCTGATTCTGACACTAAGAACAGGAAGTCCACACTTGAGAAAAACCGCTAAGCGTTACTGGAGATCTGCTGGAAAAGCTGCACCAAAACTAAGTCATGTTGTCAAGGCTACTGATTCACCTCAGTTGGGGGTAACACGTGGCTCGATCCCTAACACGAGCCCACGTTCCTCTATTCGCCCCAGAACATCTCAGCCAAGCAAGAAACGTTCACTCCCCAGTGCCGCTCGAGGGACGCAGGAACACGGCTCAAATTCGCCGTAGACACCACGTGTGTGGCAAAACGGATGACGGGACTCGGGGGGAGCAGGCGAGTGCCAGTGTGGACACGGGGGCTCATCTTCTTCGCACTCAAAGGGACTCACCGTCTGACTGAGGGTCTGCCCACGGCTGCCGGCACGTTTAGCAGCACGTGTGGATGGTAAACCCCATCACCCGCTTTGTTTCTACCCACCTCGCCTCGGCCCCAAACTCAGACCCTCCGTCCCTACAGACTGTCTGTGAGGGAAGCAGAAGCAGGCGCCTGGGGATCGCAGACGCGAGACCGGGAAAAGCCTGGCCTCTCCAGAGGGAGCCGAGGCACCGAGAGCCTCCAGACCACTTGTCCGGAATCTCCACGTAGTAAATGCTGCGCGGAACCCGCCTGGGTTCCTTCCTCCTCACCCAGCACCTCCCCAGCACAACCGCAGGGCACAGGCTTTCAGACCAGTGTTATTATGAAACCAGTTTTGGCCCCTGGAACTGCCCGCAAGAGTCTCGAATGCCCTCAGGGGTCTGGGGCCCTCACCTTGAGAGGTGCTGCTTTGTCATCATTACGTTACAGAAATAGGAATCAAAGGGATGTTTTCAGACATACAAGCCTTTTTTAAAAAATGAGATCGCAATTTAAGTTTTAAAAGTACATGACTGATGACTCTGAAAATTCCGCCCCGGTGACAGCGATATGGAAGTCACGTGTCGCATCAAAGCGTTCCCTGAGCGCAGGGGCCAGAGACCTACGGCCCGCGGGCCACAGCCAGCCCACTGCCTGCTTCCGCAAATAAAGTTTTATCGGGACGCAGCACGGCCATTCGCTGATGCGGGGTCTGTGGCTGTGATGGCAGAGCCGGGCAGTTTTAACAGGGAACGTGGCCCACAAAGCCGAAAACACTTCTGGCACCTGATGGAAAAAGCCTGCCAACCTCTGCTCCGATAGAAAGCGCTCCAACAGAAAGTGGGAATGACAAACATTTCAGCAAAGTTCAGATCAATGTAACGCCAAAGGGAGAGTCTTTAGTGGTCTTCCTTCCCCCTGAGGCTACGCGCACAGGCAGTGAAAAAATCCGTGAAAGGGAGCACTGTTTAGCTTTGGTGCCACTTCCCAGGGGTCTTACCAGAAGGTTTGCTTGGCTGTCTGAATGACGTTCGCGGACGTCTCCACGTCGATGTAGTCGTAGTGCAGGGCCCCGGGGTCTGTGGAGGAGCCCGTCTCAGCCAGCAAAATTCCGATCCATCTGCCCATGTCCTCTGAGGAGGACGCCTAGCGGGGGAAGGGAGGAGCGAGCATTTACTTAAGTGATGGTAACGAGCCCCACACTTCCCAACCGCAGCAGAGACGGAGCGGCAGAAAAGAGAAGGGAACAGGAAGCACGGAGCGGGCACAGAGGACGGAGCCACGGTCCCGGCCTGAGTGACAGGCCCACGCCGCGTGCACACCAAGCCTGGACACCGGAAGTCACGCACGGACTTACACCCAAGGAAACAAGATTGAGCCCCGCGATGCCGTCCGGTCTGGGGGACGGCAGCAGGTGCAAGGTATGGAAATTGCTATGGGAGTGAAATCGCAGCTGAAGGAAGCAGCCTAGAAAGTGTCTGGCCAGAAAAAAGGAGTCCCCCAGCCCCGGCCAGCCTCACCTGGCATCTCGATGGGGCCCGCGCCTCTGGGGGGGGCCAAACCCTGTCCCACTGCGGCCCTTGGTGGGGGGGGGGGGTGTCTCCTAAATGGGCCTGAAATGGCAATCTTAATTCTCTTAAGATAGCACAAAAAATCAGCGAAGTTTTCTACCAGTTTATATAAGTGTAGACGAGTCTATATAACTTTATGTAAGCGTAATCACGTTTTATAGTCATTGCCCCGCTTGGTGCATGGTATAGCTTTAAGATGTTCGAAATGGTCCCCATCCCAAATTTGATCCGTTGAATTTGCAAGTCGGAAATATATCTTCAAGATCCTGTTCATTAAATTTTTAAATCATCCTTATCGTGTGATTTAGAAAATCAGATACTTTACTTTATAACGATATTTGAAGCATTTGATTAATCAAAATACAATGTTTAAAAAGGTAGGGGATGCTGAGTTATTAAGCACGTAAGTTAACAGAATGGGAAAGAAAAGAAATATTTTTACTAAAATGACTAAATTTTAATAGAAAGACAGATCTGCTAAGTTAAGCTTAAAGACTCCAAGAAAATGAAGTTTTGTATTCGTAGCCTTGGCAAGTTGAACGCTGATCAGAATACACATAACTGTAAATATTCCCAGAGCCGTTAACACGAGAGGAGCTATTTTTCTTGTGATCATGAAATTGGCTGGCAGTAACGGCTCCCTCCTGGCCGGTAGGGCGTGAGGCCCCAGGACAAAGCAAATGGACTCGAGTTACGCGCCTCCCCGGGGGAGAAGGTAACCAAAGTTTGGGGAGCAAAAGTGAATGCATTTAAATACTTGGGTAAATAAAAATCCCAAATGTGTTGTTCTCTTTCATCTTCCTGTCCTTCCCCAAACAAAATCTGGATCAAGAAAGTATCTATGACTCAATCTACACTGAGGCATCTGTAACTATTTTATCTAAGCATTTTTAAAAGTGTTTTCACACGCCACGTAATGTGTGATTGATACAGTGACACTAGAGTTTATTCGTTGTTTTCCTCATAGTTTACTCTATAGAATTTTCTAATAGGCTTTTTAAAAAACAACCCTGTGATGCTGGACTGAAATTAGAGGTCTTGGTTATGATCGTAACTTTTAATACAGATGTGGGTGTGTGAATGCACATATGTATATACATGCACACTTAGAAATATGTACCACACATGTAACACATACACGTGCACGAAGACATGTAGTGCACGTGTGCCACACACACACACACACCCCTATTTCCCACTGCCACCGGGGAGATTCCACTAGGAGCTGTCCGGAGACATGGCTGGTTCCAGGCCTGGGCCAAGGGAAGGTATGAGATAAGCCTGGAGCATCTTACTGTATCACAACGTAAGGAAAGTGCTCAAAGAATGAAGGGGACCACGGCATCTTATTACAGGGACACAGCAAGGACCACAGGGGCAAGCAAAGTTCAGAGGGACTTCTGCTGACCAAATCTGGGAGTTTTCCACCAAATAAGGCATTATAATCACTGAGAAAAACAATATGCTGTGAATCCCCGCAGATATACGTACATAAGGGATTGATAATTAACGGGAGGAAGGGAGACCCTTCCTTACAGTAGAGGCTAACTAAGGAGCACAGAAGGAATAATGGGAATCCAAAGTGTGATTTAGTTGCCATGACGATGGTCGCCTCATCAATGGATGACAAAATTAGCAGGTGAAATTCTGAGTGATAACAGGATATCTACATAGACGGCCTCGAAGTAACTTCCCCATGATGCTTTTAAAAACAAAGGGGGGGGGGGCGCCTGGGTGGTTCAGTCCGTTAAGCGTCCGGTTTCGGCTCAGGTCACGATCTCTCAGTTTGTGAGTTTGAGCCCCGTGTCGGGCTCGGTGCGGACAGCTCAGAGCCTGGAACCTGCTTCGGATTCTGTGTCTCGCTCTCTCTCTGCCCCTCCCCTGCTCATGCTCTCTCTCTTCCTAAAATAAACACTGAAAAAAATTTAAAAAAAAAAAAAAAAAAGACAAAAGGAAGGCAGTGACTGTGCAGGGGGAAGCCTTGCAGACACCCTGCCCGAGGGATCAGTTAACACCACCAGCCGAGGGGCCAAGTGACGGATGCGCCTGCCCATGTGGCCTGCAGCACACAGCCCTGCTTCCACGGCTCCCGCCAGGGAGGCCTGCCCGCAGTCTAACAGCGAGGAGACAGAGATGCGCCCAGACCGAGGGCCTCCATGCGGTAAATGGTCTGTAACCTCTGCACGTCTCTGTGCCGGGAAAAGAGCCAGCTGGACCAAGAGGCGTTGGCTGGGGTTTCCTCGTGCCTTCGAGGAACACTGTGGAGATCAGAAACGCCGACTAAGGTCGAAGAATCAGGTAACAGGAGGGTGTGAACGACCATTTCCTGATTTTGATAATTATATTGTGGTTTCGGTAAGGGAATACCTCTGTTTTTAGCACATGTGCAAGGAAGTATTGAAGGAATAAAGGGGCAACGTGGCCGTAAAAGTCTGAGAAACGTTACACAGAAGGAGAGGAAGGGGGGTGCGGGGGGAGCGCCCGAGATCCCGCACACGGCAAGACGCTTCTGTCGCGGGATACGGTGGAGGGTGCTTGGAGATTTTCCCACTGCTAGCACAACTTTCCCGTAATTCTGAGATTGCCTCCAAATAAAAGTTAAAGTGACCTTAGAAGACGTACAGATTACAGTTACTGGCTGGCGTGCCGCATCTCATGACTGACCGAGGTGGGGCTGCCTGCGTGTGGCCGTGTGCGTGCCCGTGACTAATGACGGGGACAGGGGGGAAACACGGGGAAGGGGCCGCCCCGCCTGCGGGCTGCAGACGCACAGGGGCGCCCTCCCTCCCTGGCTCCCCGCCCGCCCCAGGTCTGCTGCCCAGGCTCAGCTCGCACGGGAGACCCGACCCGCCTTTTTTACATCGAGGACGTCGTCTCCTCCTCTGGGGTTTCAGCTCTCTCCCCTGCGCCCACTCTACGGTTTTCGGCCCACGTTTGCAAAAGTGCAGATTCCGGCCTGACGCTCCTGTTTTACAGGCGAATCAAAAGGCCATGAGGGAAAAAACACGCAGTGTGATCCCGCTGTTCCACAGCACGGGGCCCGGGGCCCGGAGCACATAGTGGGTCCTGGCCAGCTTCGCAGGCCCGCAGCCCCGTGGGAGGGAGCACTCCGGTGCTAGTCTGGTCCCGCCCCTGTCGGAGAGAGTTTCTGTGAAAAGAGTCTCCGGAACAAACACCTGTCTCCCATCAAGACCTCCCAGACCATCAACTGCACAGCCCGTGTCCACGTGCTCTGAAGTTCACACGCCTGGTGTTTGTGGACACGCGTGTGTGCATGTGCGTGTCTTTGTGTCTAAGTCATGGTAATGTGAATGAACAAAGGGCCAGAAAAAAGAAGGTCTGAATTAACAGGGGGTAGAAATAAGTTAACAGTATAATAGATGAAAAATAAAATCTGAAGTTGTCAGCAGATAGTGAAGAAACCAGTGTCGACTGCGTTTCCGCATCAGGGAATAAGAAGCTCCCAAAAAGCAGGCAAGCACGTATTGCATGCACACCAAGCAGAGGGCTCTGAAAGTGAAAGGTGTTCTTCTGGGATTTCCGTGTGACTGGCCCGTGAGCCGCCGTCTGTAAGGTTGTCTAAAAACACCTGTTCCGTCTGTGAAGAACATTCCGAAGGGCAAGTGAAAGAAATACCATTGTTTCAGAGGTAGACCATCGTTAGGGGAGAAAGGGGTGACTTTACTCTGAAAAAGCAGTGCGCTGTGTGGAACCGTGTATTTAACCGCGCCAACGCGCGCGGACGACAGGAAGCGAGGTGGCGTCTGGAGACGGGGGGCCTGCACCGTGCAGTGAGAGGGGGCGCTGGCTACTCGCACCATCACAGAGAGGGGGTCCCCACGGCACACACGAGGGACACGACCGGAAGCACGGTGCCCCGGGGCCGGCGGCGGGGACCGGGCAGGAAGGAAAAGCGCCCGGCAGGTCTCCGAGGGTGGCCTCGGGCAGCGCCTCACCTCCAGCACCGCGACCTCCTGTCCATTGCGAAGCAGCCGGAAGGTCAGGGGGTGTTTGGAGTCCAACCCAGGGATCACGTCACAGCCGCGCAGAGGGATGGAAACGATGTGGGTCTTGAGGTCGGTCCTGTCCTTGTGGAAAATGAGCTTGTTGTCCTTGACCCGACACCAGCGCTCCCGCCAGCGGCTGTTGGAGAGCACGTTGAGATAGCCTGCAAGGGGACCACGGAGACCGTCAGCGCGGAACCGCCCCCCGCACACCTGCAAGTGCAAGTTTACGCCAACGGGAAGGGCTGCCCCCACCCAGTGGCTCACTTCACGCAGTAGGGGACTCCTGGGAAGGCAGGCGCCCCCTCCCCCCAGAAGCCCCTGAGGGCCCGCATTGGGGGTGGGGGGGTGCATGCCAGGGAGCGGTTCTGGGAAGGTTAAGGGTTTCGTGGCGATCTGGGGTCGGGCTGGCCGAGCTGAGCCCTCGGTGTTTGCAGGGTGGGAGGGAAAGGACGCAGTGGTCGTCTTACATGACCAAAGGGACACCATATGGAAAAGGACGAGATTCACTCCGGGCAGCTGCAAAATGACACAGCCGGGGCACAAGTTACGGGGGGCAGGTTCTGGCATCACGTGAGAAAAACACTACCCAAAAAGGAAACTCTACTCTCCTACCCTGCAAGGAATAGGAGGCCTTGGGGGGCACTGAGTCCCCCACTGCTGGACGCATTCCAGCAAATGACGGAAGGTCCTGGGCACGAGAGCCCTACAGGAAGAAGGCAAAGATGCCTCCTGGCCTTTCCCGCAGCCCTCGCGTTTGACGATTTTGTCCGACTGGTGGAGCGCGCCCGGACGGGACGGGAACGCCGGAGTCTGAAGGCGTAGGTCTCTGACACTAAAGACATCATCAGTATGTGAACTAACAGGGCAGAAAACCAGATTTCACAGGGTGGCTGCTGCTTCCTCCTGCTCCGTGATGCTAGGAGATGGCTGTCCCCTGCCCTTGAGACGCAGGAAGGGAGTGCGTGGGGCTTAGAACCCTGGCCAGAAAGGAAGAAACGATACAAGGATTTCACAAGTCATTGCACTACTCCTTCCACTCACGCATGCATGTGCACACACCCACGCACACACCCGTGCACATACCCACACCCACACCCGTGCACACACCCACACCCACACCCACACCCGTGCACACACCCACACCC